AGAGAGAGAGAGGGAGAGAGCGAGCACAGGCAGACAGAATGGCAGGCAGAGGCAGAGGGAGAAGCAGGTTCCCTGACGAGCAAGGAGCCTGATGTGGGACTCCATCCCAGGACGCTGGGATCATGACCTGAGCCGAAGGCAGCTGCTTAACCAACTGAGCCACCCAGGCGTCCCACAAAGTAGAATAATCTTAAAGAGTACAAACTTACACTACTTCACAAATTTGTCCTAGACTGGCCACGGGAAAGGGTTATTGATGATATTAAGCATCTATGACCAGAACCTGTTCCGTCATTATATCCATAATCAAAAGCATTGTTAAAGGATTTTTAACAGATTTTTAAAATTTAAACTTTAAATTTTAAAATTTACAGATTTTTCTATATTTGTATTATGTCAATAGGAAGTCTGCCTTTTCAGTAGTTTTAACATTACTGTTTCCAGAACCATTTCTGTGGCTACAAAACATTTCACAGATTAAAAAACAAAACAAAACAAACAAAAAACCAAAACAAAACAAATCTCTCCCTAGATCCACCCTACTTCATTTCCCCCAGCCTACAAAGTAGATTTCACCAATAGCATACTGCGTGGATATAAGACTTTTTAAAAGCTTATTCTTGAGATAGTGTAGATTTTTTAAAGCATATTTTAGGTTTTAAGTTTTATAATAATCTTTCATAACTAAAAATAGAAGGAGCTCGCCTTTATTCTAACACAAGGACCTAAATTCTCTTCAATAGTATGTGTATATTTTAACCATATTTTGAAATATCTTAAAACAGCCTTTGCATTTAGGGTACTGTGCATCGTATGGACACATCTGAGACCCCCTACATATCTGTCTGTCATTTTTACTCATGATCAAGGTGTAAGGGAAGGGAATTTGCCCTTTTAAACAGTATGGAATAATTGGCTTGAATTCTAGATTTTTCCTGAGCCATAATTTTTTTCAATAGGAGTCTTCTTAAAAATTGAGAAAATCTGAGTTAGTTTGCAGGGTAGTAGCTGTGAGGAAAAGACTGACAGACTGTGGGTGAACTGGAGTGGAGAAGGGGGGCGCAGAGGAGGAGCTGAAACCAAAAACACAGGTAGAACAAAGAAACTGGTACTCACTGCTCCGAGGGATTGTGTGCTTTTGTTGCATTGGATAGTTGAGAATTTGCTCTAGCTTTTTCCCTCCCATGTAGATATTCATAAGAATGGATCTGTTTGGAATTAGCAAGTTGATGTGATTTTCTTCACAAAGGTAAAGAGGCCTTTTCCCTCTTGCCAAGGTGAGGTCAGATCTGATCACCAGCTACTTAGAGGGGAGTGGGGAATGTGAGCCCCATTATGGTTTCTTGATAAATAATACAATTTACAATTTGCTGAGTTCCTGTTACTGATCAGGCACTCCGTGTGGCTTTTGCAGACACTCTTTTTTATCCATTCAGCCATCCTAAGAGGAAGGTACAATTATCCCTGTTTTGCTATTGAAGAATCGGATTCAGAGGGACTAAATAACTTAGTCAAAGCTATCCTGCTCTTAAAGGGCAGAAGTTACCCTGAGAACAGGCCACTTTGTTTTCAAGGCTGGTGGCCCTTTTCCCACAATGTGCAACAACACAGGGGAGTCTGGAATGCTGAGATGGTCCTCCAAATCTATGGCAGTGTCTGAAATGTTTGTCTTACTCAGCTCTTGCTTATGCAAAGGATTTCAGTACATTCCTGCTCCAGAAAAATTTACCCCTGGGGAAAGGAGTTTGTTATTGTAAATAACTACTTATTTCTTCTCACATTCTTTATTCCACTCCCCTCTGTACCTCCATAGATCAGGAACGTTTGTAAAAAGTCAGTGGTTCATTTAGACTGCAGCTAATGTTTCTTGGAATTCTTTTTAATTTCTTAGGATACTATAAGATGGAACCAAATTATTGCTGCCTTCCCCTATTACCATTGAGCTATCTTTTGATATTTCAAATATGAGCTATTTCTGGAAGAAATAATAGAACTGTTTATGTTGTATCTCTTGTAACCTATTGAAAATTTCAGGAACTTTAGAAAAAGGTAAAGAACCATAGTTAAACAGAAAAAGAAAATAAAAATATACCAGCTATGTACCCTGTGTTCCTGAAAACTGGCACGTTGTAGTAGCTTAAACCTAAAGATGGAATTAGAAATACTAATTAGGTTATGATTTACATAACTGCTCACCTAACTTTTCAAAAATGAATGAGAAATAATGTTCCCAAAAAAAGAATGTTCCGCCCCAAAATATTGTTCCCCAAAAGAGAAATAATGTTCCCAGACTTTTCTTCTTTCTCTTCTTCTTTCCTCCTCCAATGATTCAATAAATGTTTATTGAGTCCCAATTGTGTCCTAGGGCTATCAAATTTCTGTAGCCTCCTGGCTGGTCCCCAGTTTTTTTGCATGTTCTGTGTGTAGTCAGTAATGAGATACTAATTAAGAACACAGAATCAAAATTCAATATGTTTTCATTAATTATAAAAGCCAAGTAGATTGATTGATGAAAGTTCATCTTTGGAAAGGAGAGATGCTGTCATTCATCAGTCTAGGTGATGTCCATAACAGACATGATAACTATCAATATAAGTATAAGGCTTTGGGGGTGATGCTTTTTTTTTTTCTTTTTTAAGATTTTATTTGTGTACTTGACAGAGACAGAGATCACAAGTAGGCAGAGAGGCAGGCAGAGAGAGGGGGAGAAGCAGGCTCCCTGCTGAGCAGAGAGCCCAATACAGAGCTCCATCCCAGGACCCTGAGATCATGACCTGAGCTGAAGGCAGAGGCTTAA